TGATTTGGAACGGCCCGTTCCCAAAGTGGAACGGCCCGTTCCAGAGCTACAAAAATCCAGGACTGTTAATTAATAAATAAATAGTTAACACACACATATATATATATATATCAAATTAAAATAAAATATCAAAACAATTTAAAACATGATTTTCTTCAAATAATAATTATAACAAAATATCATAATTAATAATATTATACAAAATAATTTTCATAAATGATTATTATTAAAACCTTTAAAACTTCAATCAAACCCTTTTAATTAATCAAAATAATTATAAGAAAATAATCTTCATAAATACAAAAATAAATAATAATTATTTGTAGTATTAGTAGAAAAATTTAGGATGTTACAGTCCTCATGAATTGGTGAATTGGTTTTAGACACATTAGGTTGTCTCTTCATAAGCATGTAATTGCATTTGGTCACAATATGTATTTTTTTCCACAAAAGTAGCATACAAATATATATTTCTCATCGGTGTACTTCTTGCATTTATATCTATGAACAAAGTTTTTATGGACATTATTCTTATATCTCAAATCAATCCCCTGGACTAACTCATCTTACTCAAGCATTTTGTTCTATCTCTTTATCCTTAATAATTCCTATTTTATCTTCTAGCCTAATTATCTTATATTATTAAAATTACTTATTGTGATATGAGTTATCTTTTAGTCTTATGATAATTATATTATTTATTAACAAATATCGTAATATAAATTATCTTTTAGTCTTATGATAATTATATCATTTATTAACAAATGTCATGATATAAATTATCTTTTAATCTTATAATAATTATATTATTTATTAAAAGACCTATCTTAGTAGTATGATAAATAGTAGATTAACTTATAGCCAATCCACATTTGATTGATTGATGAAAGGTTGGTTTGCATTGGGACATAACATCTAAGTTTAAATATTTAAAAATATTTATTATAAGATTTAATTATAATTTTAATTCTCTAAATTTGATATATATATATATATATATATTTATTTATTTTGATTCTTTAAATTTAAAACTCATGCTTTAAACTCCTAAAATATATAAAAAAAAATTATTTTAATCTCCTAAATTTAAAATTTATTTTTTAATTTTTATTATTTAAAAGTTATTATTTTAATCATTATAATTGATAGTAACAAATCAAACTAAAATAATTATTTTCTGATATTTTGATAACTAAAACTCAAATCTTAAATTTGAGGATAAAAAATATATAACGCAAATTTAAAAAATAAAAAATATATTTAAATCTTATTCTAATTTAAAATTTAATTGTATAAAAATGCGTAATTTTTTTTTATTTTTTTATATTATAAAAAAGATAAAAACCTAACTCCCCATTGTGTATAGAACACAGCTTACAAGTTACACGACCAAGCCGAACATCGGAAACCGCAGGCGAAGCATTCGCGAGTTGCCGACTC